GAAATTCTCATTTATTCTCATGGAGTCTGAATTCGAGCCGGTATTTCACTAGATACGACTCACTTGACCGACAACACAGTTAGGTTAATACTAGGATTGTCTAAGGTACATACGAGTGACGTCATTTATAAAAAACTATCTCCCGAATACTGAAAGGCTGAAATTTTTAATTGTACTTAAATATCGTGCCATCTCTATCATTTTACAAAGAATCTGTAGTGAGAGAACTATCATCATCATCATCAACTGCCTATAAGTTCCCACTGCTGAGCAAAGACTCTTCTCACACGGAGAAGGTTTGAGCATTAATCACCACGCTTGCTCATTGCGGGTTGGCGATTTCATACTAATATTATAAGTCCAGGTTTCCTCAAAATGTTTTCCTTCACCGTTTGTCAGTGTTGTCTTAATAATCTTAGAAAGTATGTACATATAACTCGGAAAAAGTCACATTGGTACTTGCCGTTGGTAGGTTTCGGACCCGCATCCTCATACATGAGAAACGAGCGTCTTTACCGGTGGCTCGGAGCCATCACGACATAACTATATTAAAACTCAACTTAAAATCGAGTGACATTTGAGAATTTCAGTATTAATATGTTGTCCGAACAATTTATAACACCTGGCGAAAAGGGTATGTTGTATCAACTATTTACTCTGTCTACTACTTCAGTGAAAAGATTCGCGATATTTATATAAAAATTAATATAAATATTCCTCTAAAAATCATCCAAAACTTTTTTCTCCCACAAAAATCCCACTTAATTCCCTTTAAGTAGAAGTTTGCTACACTAATTGGTATTTACCTTTTCTCTAATAAGCCGCAACAAAGCCCTCAGCCACTAGCCCGTGAAGAAAGTAGATAATTGAAGATCATACGTGATTGGAATACCTCGGGTCCAATGAGAGGTAACCCTATGATCAAGAGGTTCCTTTTGAAAAATTAATAAATTGTTTTGTAAGGGAATTAATGGTATGCAGATTAACTCGTTGAGTACCGTTATTATAGACACAATTAAAGAACAAAATTTTGCGGTCACCGGTGACCGCGCGGTGTTTGACAGTTGTATAGTGTTATTAACATTTGAGTAAGCATTTCGTTACACAAGTGGACAGTTTCTTTATTTGCATTGCTGTGGAATTATAGTCGGTGGTTGCCAACGGAAAGTACCAATGTGACTTTTTCCGAGTTATGTATACGTACTTTCTAAGATTATTTAGACACCACTGACAAACGGTGAAGGAAAACATTGTAAAGATTTTTTTTTGAGGGGTAAAATAATCCAATGACTTCTTCCGCTTTGGGTTGACGAAGAGTATCAGACTCTTATTGACTAAAACCATTGTGAGGAAACCTGAACTTATAATTTTTAGCTATAACTTTGAAATCGCCAACCCGCATTGAGCAAGCGTGGTGATTAATGCTCAAACCTTCTCCGTGTCTGAATAATGATCAATTGTTGACCCGTGCAACAGCTAAAATATATAGAAAATATTCAACTACAGCAGCATCTTCAACTAAAAACTAAAAAACCAATCCAATAATGACGACGAAAATATTTTAAAAACCAATATTTATATAAAAACTACCATCATCAAAGAAAAGTTTTTATTTAAAACGTCACTTACAATACTTCAAAACTTTATTAATAAATCTAAACTAAGTACATCAAAGAAGTTCTTTTCATTATAAGATAATGCTGTGTCATCTGCATCAGCTGTTAGAGCATTTTCGAGAAAGTTCTTAAGGCATATCAGTATTCCTGTGAAGTCTAGCTAATGTCCCACCCTCACATTGTGGCTGTTTGGAAACTTTGAAAATGTCTTACTTTTTATCCGTAAACTTTTGTATGCGTGACGGTTCTTGGATGTTTGTCTAAAATTACATTTCTTTCTAACGTGAATCTTTTTACATCTTCATTGATCGCAAGCTCATACTAAGCTAATAAATATTTTTCTTCTTTGCTTGCTACACCTACGCAGAATAGCATGTCTATGCAATGAGTCCTTCCTTTATTTACTGTTCTAAACTTCTCTGAGTTTATTTCTCCCACTGTGGTTAGTTCTAATTCAAAATTATTACCCTAAAGTTATCGTTTGAATAAAGTACTATCATGTTACGATCTCCCCATATCATCGTAACCATTATCCAAAACGCGGTCAACTATAACTCGTTACCAAAAGAAAATCGCATCTTCCAACAAACAAAATTGAGTCTTACATTGTTATAGATAAAACTGATATTTGGAGACATGATCGCTCGTTACCGGCGCCACTGATAGGACAGTCGCACCGATAGAACGGTCAGTATCCGCACTCCCGTTGCGCTCAATCGAGTTGCCTTTTGCTGGAAACTTAGCGTTGCGTATTATACGCAAATTTCGCTGAAATGGGTCACACTACTTGACACCGGTACCTCAGTCAACCGAGTTGAGTACGGGAAATTGAGTTATGACCCGAAATGTTTGTCAAAGAAAGTTAAGATACATTTGCATTAATGAGAAAGACATGGTCGACGTAAAACTGAATACATGAAAATTGCACTTGAATGCTAGCTCTCACATTCACAAAATCAGGCATAGTATAAAACAAAGTTGCTATCCGCCGTCTGTCTGTCCCTATGTATGCTTAGATCTTTAGAACTACGCAACGATTTTGATGCGGTTTTTTTGTGATTCTTGAGGAAGGTTTGTATGTATAATACACGTATATTACACCCGTGCGAAGCCGTGGTCGCTAGTACTAGATAAATCAACAAATTACATGCAGATATAATTTTGTCAGGCGATTTAAAACGAATCGTTGTTGTTCTCTAAATTTCGGTATAATGCCTGGAATATTTTATCGCACACGTCCAAGTTTTAAAAGTAATCACGGAGCTTGTCCTATTTGCGCAGCCGTTAAATCGCTTTTTGTCTGCGTTTCATGTGAAACAAATGATTTAATTTCAGATCCTCTAAAGCTCGCATTCTCTTGGGGATTTTCTGCAATAATTCAGGATGTAATTTACATAAAAAATCTTGCATTTCCTTTCTTAACTTGATATAGTTTTGATATCTCGTCTGAAAGAATTTAAATGAAAGCAACAATCGCTTTATGAATGCCTGGTCTTTAATTTTCTTTTTATCATCGTGACCCTTTGAAACGAATAAAGGATGAATAGCCCCCGTTCTAACGTTTGCACGTAAAGAATCTTTAATTTTGCGGCTCCCTCATTAATTCTCGCTTTTGGGGTTCACCCTTATTGCTAAGATAATTGATACGGCGCTGGTTTAAACGAAGTTCGCGTTCATAATGAGTTAATAGATAAAAGGTTCTATAATCATTGTGACTGCAGCAAATTGTTTTACAAACTCCAATACTAGGGGTATTTTTTTTTAAAATGACTCATTAAGTTGCGATATTATGTTTCATTGTCGTCGTTATCTGAATTAATATTCAAAAAAATAAAATGTATTGGTAACTTAGATTGAAATTTTAGGACGGATCAAATAACCGTTTAAAAAAACGTGACAGCGAAATAATTTGAATTTCATTCCTCCCGAGATTGGGCTCACAAAAATGAATAAATTCACAAAGTTTGTCGTTCATGAAATTTTATGTATGGCATGTTGAGTGCCATGAAATGCCGGTCCAATAAGGGACGTAAATGGCACGATCTCTCAAAATTTATAATCTGGCATCATCGTATAGGTAGTAATCCCGAAAGGTGTTGTTTTATTGGGACATGAGTTAGGGACCTGTTTAATATTTTACGACTACTACACATGAGAGGAACATGGGAAATTTCCTCTTAGAAAAACTCGCTACTTTTCTACTTACCTCGACATTTATTTGATGGCCTGTACTGTAATAAAGAGAGGATTTCCTCAATGAGAGGGGATTTTACTGAATCCGCGCGAATCCAATATAGATTAGTGGGCCTTTCATCAAATCTCTTTCTAATGGGTCGGCAGGAAGGTGCGATCTTATAATTTGATCGAAGCGTACGTGTGAAACACCTCATGCAACTTATTATGATGGGAAAAGTTGCTGGTAGAGGGAAAACTGCTGAAGGAAATAATCGCTATTGTGTTATGGCGAAAAAATTGAGCCGTAGAACGTTTTTGTGGGGTCTAAATGATGATGTCAAAATTATTGAGCATTATCGAGTTTGGTGTTGTTGTGTTTTGCTTGTACTTACTTTTTTATTGAATGTAATAGAGATAGATTAAAATCCTCGATGGTATGTTTATTAGGATTTCCAGATATCAGTTCAAGTTTTCCTTATGTTAAAGGACGTGTTTTTAAGTATCTTCAACGTACTTTATGTTAAAATGTTTTTGTTACTAGAAACTGCTGTTTACGTCACCGCTTGGTGGGAACTATGAGTGCTTTCTGCTGTCTTGCATAGAGTGTGCCCCTAAAAGTACTTTACCAGCTTCGTTTTAGATCAGTGCTCTCATAGCGACATGTTTTTAAACTATTTTAAAAAAATTTCAACCACATAGTGATTTCATGCATTTTGTTTATTTTTCTAACTACAGATTTAGATATTATTAGTTACTAATTTTTGTCTTTATGCACATATAAAACATCACGGCTTTTTATCCGCAAAGGGGTAGACAGAGGTGCACATTACGGCACTTAATGCCACTGTACAATGTAACAACCACTTTTCACTATTTATGTTATGAGTCTCATGTAGGTAATAGGGAGTGAGCATGTTGCCATATATCGTGCACAATTTCATACTCCGTGCTACTACTGATTTTAAAAAAAAAACCAGTTAGACTTCGTCCAATCCGGGAATCGAACCCGAATCCCCTTGCCCGACAGTCGCGCTTGCGACTATTCGGCTAACGAGGCAGTCAATTTGTCTTTATGAGATTGTATAAAATATATAAATAATTATTCCAGTACCTACCTAATACGCAGAACAGAATGACCGATGATATTCTATTCACAAAATAATGATAAAACTGAAAAAAAGCTTTAAATATCTTTTTCTTTGTTTGCAGATCAACAATGAGTCCTACTCTCACTCTCTTCTGCATCTTCTTCTACGCTCTCCTATCTCCTTTGCAATGCGGCACTTCATCCAGCGCTGATGATGATAGGAGATGGCTGGTATCTCTAGTTGACCTGGTGGAGTTGGATTATGTAGACCATTGTGAACAGAGAGCCAATGCTGCGTGGAACGAGCTCACTGGGAACAGCAAAGGATTGGCGTCAAAGGTTAGAACAATTATTATTATCAGTTTTATAATTGCTATGCGTACACCTTATCGCGGAGAACCTAACTGGTTGCCGGGGCTTCGGCTCGACGTGCAGGAGAAGGAACGGGGTGGTTTTTAGTTTCGAACCACAGAGGGATCGCGCGACGTCGCCCACGCTGCTCATGAGGAAGAACCCCTTTGTGGTTTGAAACTAGTAGAGCTTTTCTCAGTATATTCACGTGGGTAACCCGCGTTTTTACTTAATTTATATTCGTTGTACTTTTTATGCCCACGATTTCCATTTACGCCGAAAATAATATGACTTATTTATATTACCAACAGTTGGAGCGCGACAAGACGTTCGGCATGTTCGTGTGTCAGCAAACCAATGACATCAAGAGCGCTCTCACCGCGCATGCGCTCTCTGCAGACGACCACGTGCTCCGGCGCAAGGTGAAACTGCTGTTGCAACCTGGAGATACCCTGCTTGATACTGAGCAGTGGATAAGGGTAAGAATAATGTGCTTATTTTTAACACGTTAACCGCCTCGTAGGTTCCCGGTCACCTACGTTAGGGGAGGATTTGCCTTCAGCAGCTTAAATTTCTTTCTAATGAAAAAGTTTGTATCACTTCTCTTATTGACATTATGGTTCATTAGATTTTTCACAATGATCGATAAAATTACCTTTACTTTACAGTTAGCTTTACTTAAACTTTTTTTTCTTTTGGAAAATATGTCCAACTAGCTTTTACTCGCAGCTTTGTCCGCGTATTCTTGTTTTATCCTATGGGAGCATTTAATCGGGATAAAAAGTCCTATCACCTAAGTCAGCCCATACCCTGCTTGTATACTAAATTTCATTAAATTCCGTTCTGTAGTTTCAGCGTGATTGACGGACAAACATTCAAAGACATTTATAATACGCTGTGATTATTATTATTACAAAAAAAAATAACGTTGCTCCACATTAATATTTTCACCTGTGTCGTGGGTGCGTTTACAAACATTCAAGTTCACGTACACAATGACACCCAAACCCGAAACGACAATTTGTGGATCACACAAAGTGTTGTTCCGTGCGAAAATTGAACCCGCGACACGTTGCACGGCAGCTTGTTGCCCAGCACCGTGCAGTCGTATTCATCAGTTTATGTACATTATGAATTAGGGTCTTAGAAATTATATGTATATATATTACTTAGTTCATAAGCACAAAAAATACTAGAAACAGAAAGATTTCTCTTTCAGTGTAAGTAGGTACAGTGAATGCTTCCTTACGAAAGTAAATACTTGATACATACATAAGTATATGAGCTAGCAAAATGCTATGGAACTGTTCTAAAAGACGTACTTACACATAATAATATTCTCGGAGTCCCGGAGAACCTAACGGGTAGCTGGGGCTCCGACTCGACGTGCAGGAGAAGGATCGGGGTGGTTTTTAGTCAGTAAGAGTCTGACACTCCCTTCCGCCTCAGCAAGGCGGGAGCAGTCATTCGATGATTTTCCCCCTTAAAAAAAAACACATAATAATATTTAGTGGTGAACCAAATAGAAAGGTTTCCAAGAAATAGGTTTGTACTCATACAATATTATACCTCCATACACCTGAGAAATAATAAATTCATTTAGTTATTTTTATTACGATAGATAGTGCGAAGTAATTGGATATAAATCTTAGGTTTTATTTATGGCGTCCGCTGTGGTGTTTTATCTATGAATTATGTTTCTTACTGTTTTATAGGTGAACACTGCTTTTGTGGTTAACTTAGGTACCTTTTGAATGCTATTGCTTATAGTATGTAGGTGTGTATGTAGAATCAAATGGAACTCTCCCGAAAAACGCCGACAGGTGATGTTAAAAAACATAACATAACATCACGCCTTTTTATCCGCGAAGGGGTAGGCAGAGGTGGACATTACGGCATTTACTGCTACTGTACAATGTAACACCCACTTTACACTATTTATGTTATGAGTCCCATGTAATAGGGGGTGAGCCTATTGTCATATACCGGACACATTTCCAGACTCCGTGCTATACTGAGATTTTTTGTAAAAACCGAAAAGTAATACTTTGCCCGACCCGGGAATCGAACCGGAGACCCCTTGCCCGGCAGTCGCAGTTGCGACCACATGGCCAATGACAAAGAGATGTTAAATAACAAATTTCATTTTCATAAAAGTAAGAAATTAAATGTTTTCTTTTATATAATAATGGTTGTAATGAATAAAACGAAATCAGAAACGAATGAAATTGTAAAAAAAATCTTTTTATCAGCATTTCCGTTGTGAGTGTTGTGTCGTTTACACTTTGTATCTACACTAGCTACTTTCACGATGTTTTATTCGCTCTACTCGGCTCTTATTAATCATAGCCTTCCTCGATAAATGGACTATCCAACACGAAAGTAATTTTTCAAATCGGACCAGTAGTTCCTGAGATAAGCGAGTTCAAACAAACCAACTCTTCAGGTTTATATACTAACAGTACTAGCTACTTCTGCGCGGTTTCACACGATCTGCTCAACTACTATTGGTCGTAGCGTGATGTTTTATAGCCTATAGCCATCCTCGATAAATGCGCTATCCAACACAAAAATAACTATTTAAATCAGACTTGTAGTTACGGAGATTAGCGCGTTCAAACAAACAAACTCTTCCGCTTTATATGATAGTATTATATTATATTATGCAATAAAATAGTATAAGAGTATAAGATTCGATTTGGATAGATTTGTTAACTACAATTTTAGGATTCTATGGGACTTAAGTTTATTACATGGATCTTTAACAGTTGACTAATAACTGGATTATGTGGCTTCTCTGTATGAGAGGCTTCGCCATAATCTCTACATTTGGCAGGCGAACTTGCAGATCGTAGTTTGAACAATCCAGTTTCCTTAAAAGTATCAAATCTAATCCTAAAACTCGACCATATCTTTTTTTAGGGTTGAAAATCGTCCAATGACTTCTCCCGCCCGGATGGAGCGAGAGAGAGTGTCAGACACTTATTGACTTAAAACCACCCCGTTCCAACTCCTGCTCTTCGAACCGGAGCCCCGGTAACTCTTCAAGTCCTCCACGCCTCCGTATAAGCTCAGCCCTATTGAGCCCCATCTGTGGTGGTGTGATGGCTCTTTCAGATGCGCGCGGAACGCAACGCAACGTAAAACCGACCCTATTGAATTAATAAAGACATAAAACTGAAAGTTTGCCATCTAATAACTACATCTACAATACCTCATTTCCCCTCGTTAATTTTTACAACTTGCAACTAAAAAAATATATAGCTTCTCTTTCTTTGTTTTTTCCTTATCTGATGACCCGGAAACTTTGTAGGGTAAAACTTCATCTTGTTTTATCAGGCTTTGATACCCGCATTAAGTTGTACGAAGGGAATCTTTGGATTAATGAAACTACTTCTTGACTGGATTAATCGGTTACACGATGTATTGGGAAGGATTTCTAAGACCTGGAGGGTTACTCTTGCATCCAATTCTGATCGATAAATATTGGTATTGTGACATTTCGTACTCTTGAGTTGCAACAGTAGCGCCCATTGCATACGTTTTGCGTGAATATTTAATGAACTAAATGGTATTGACTTTGGCTTTATATTCCGTAGTCTGAATGCTATTTTAACAGCTCTATCGTACCTGTATAGTTTTGACATTGAATAATTATTGGTATTTTATTGGATTGAAATTGCATTGACATTGTGATTGTTCAAGAGTAAGCCCCCTCATATTTTATCACAAACATTATCTATAGATAGGGCAAAGTTTTTTTCAATATTCTTAGAAGTCTTGGGGTCGAAAATCTAATAACATTGGTCATTGTTTACCCAAGTATTCTACACATATATTCCTGAGTTGTGAATATACAAGTAACGATTGTTAAAATAATATTTTCTTTTCAGCTCGTCACATTTGGCGATAATGCCCAAAACAAAATAAGATTTGCCACCAACTACGACTGTGGGACTGCCACCAACTGTACGCTAAAAGGTAAGACACAATAACTAAACTAAATTATAAGTTTACACCAATACAAAGATGTCTGCAGACGTAAACCTATAAGCTTATTACGTATATTAGTCCTACGGTACACATACAAGAAAGCTTTAGACAATATAAAATACTGAGAAAAGCTCTACTAGTTTTGAACCACAGAGGGGTTCTTCCTCATTTATTTAGTTAATTTAGTATGTCTCACGATAGTTCTTATAAAAAGGTAAAATATCTCTAAATTTTATACAGTAAGTTAATAACATAACATAATATCACTCCGTAGGGGTAGGCAGAGGTGCAAATTACATCACTTAATACCACTATACAATGAAACACCCATTTTTCACTATTTACCTTATGAGTTCCATATAATAGGGGTGAGCTTATTGCCATATACCGGGCACAATTCCAGGCTCCGTGCTACTACTGAGATTTTTAAAATACATTGCCCGACCCGGCAAGCACCTGCGCGCAATTGGCCAACGAGGCAGTCAGTGAGTTAATAATATAATAGCTAATATACAAAAACAATAAAAGCGACAGCACATTTAGATAAGTAAAATGATTTATTCAGCTAATAAATATGATTACCATTAAAATAAAGAAGTTAGAGAACAAATCTCAAAAGTAAATTCGATATAGGGACCAATTCCAAAAATATCTTAATTGGCATTGAAGTTGAAACAATTGTAACAGGAAAAATAATCCATTTGAGATAACAAAAAAATTGGATGGCCAATTTGGAAATAAATTGAAGGTTTTATATAAGTACGGAAGTTGAAGGGCAAATGTAACTCGACAGGACCTCTTGGCCCTACCAAATAAAATTCCCAAGTCATTATGAATCTTACGAAGTAAGACAGAAAGTTTTAATAACACTGGCACAAGAGACGAATGTTTGTAAAAAGTTAATTTCTCATTTGACGTGAGAGTACTAGTAATTTTATGAAAAAAAAACACCAGTGTCGGTTTTATGGTCGCGTAAAAAGGTAAGTGCTTGGTTAAGGATTCCAGTTGTCATACAATAGTGCTTAAATAAAAAACGTTTTGAATTAGCTCGGGCATATTTATAAAATAAATGTAGATGCATTTCTCTACTCACCAATGTCAGTCGGGTAGGGGCAGCCCTTAGCCATCAGACTACCACGGATGGGGCCCAGTAGGGTTGATGCTGATACAGAGTCGCGAAGGACTTAATAGGTTACCGGGGCTCCGGCTCGAAGTGCAGGAGTAGGCACGGGGTGGTTTTTAGTCAGTAAGAGTCCGACACTCCTTCTCGCCTAATCTTAATAAGCGGCGGAAGAAGTCATTGGTGGTTTTTAAAAATCTCAATGGTAGCACGGAGTCTGGAAATGTGCCCGGTATATGGCAACAAGCTCACCCCCTATTACATGGGACTCATAACATAAATAGTGAAAAGTGGGTGTTACATTGTAAAGTGGCATTAAGTGCCGAAATGAGCACCTCTGCCCACCCCTTTGGGGATAAAAAGGCGTGATGTTTATGTATGTACCCTTTAATTTAACGTTCAGCATATTTACAAAGCTTTTAATACACCTATCGTTATTTTAACAGATAATAAAATAAAATTTCGCACGCGTTTCGCGAAAGCAGTTTCCACTATCATAGAAATTAAATTCTACGTTATTGTTTAGATTTACGCAAACTGTAAAAGTATTATTATTATGACATAATAACGGATATAACAGATTTTATGCCAAGCATAATGTTATTATGCGTATGCCAGACATTTCTGGACAATTTCTAAGCATTACTAGTTTTTTTAAAAGATAGAATAAAGATAGGATTGAATAGGATGGGGAAACAAGCAGATGTTTTTATAATAACTATCATGAGATATTTTCTCAGTATTTGTATGAGTAACCCGCGTTTTTACTTAAAACAAGCAAATGTACAAAGTCAAAGCAACTATTTCAATTAATCTTTAATTGGGCACATATGAAACGTCAAAAATTGAATTGTCCGTCCGTCTTCCAGTCAGTGAAGCAAGGCGTTCCAAAGTATAGTTTCTAATAGAGAAAAACTAGTAAGAAAATCCATCTATACATCGAACCTTATCGCTAGCAATCGCCCATAGACTCCCGCAATACCTGAGGAGTTATAAGCCCTTTGCTGGCCCCTTTGCTGGCCATTGGGGTATTGAGGATGGGGGATGATTTGAGCTTCAGTACAAACTAAAATAATAATAGTACCTACTAACAGAACTGATGACCCTTAACCTTTCGTGTGTCTAAACGCGGATCCACGCGAGACACAATGTATTATCTATTGTTTCTCATATCGATGCATAGAAGCGGTTAAAAAAGAAATGTTCAAATAGTCTCACTTAAAATCCACCAGATACATAGGACCAATTAAAACCTCCATAGATATACAAATGAATAATTTCCTATTCCACTGCGTAATTAAACACCTCAATTAATAATAAATCCTCCCGAATCTGTATTCAGTTAATTAGTTCAATTAATGTTCCGAAGCTTACCGTTTTCTAAATAAACAGTGCTTCAATACAAGGAAATCTAATTCTACAGTTAGTACAAATTCACTCAGTATTTGTCTCTTAGTAATTTAAAGTGGAGAAGGCTTTGTACCTATTTCAATCTGCCAACTTTTTTATTGGATTTTGGACTCTATATCAAAATTAATAAAGATGAAAATCGACTTAAGAAATTTTACAGAAAGGTATAGGTTTATCAGCAGTTGTCTGTACCATCTGTTTTGGTCAATCCATCTTAGGGTTTCAGATGGATGTAGTCTTTGAGTAGTGTTTTGAATTTTAAAACAGCTATTCCTATTGTTATTTAGATGAGAATGCGTAGACGATTGTTTGTTTTATCTGATTATCTGATACAGTCAGGATCAAACTGGAAACTCAGCTTTGACGCTGTGTGATTTTTTTAACGAATATTTTGACGGCGTATATAGGTAATGTTGTTGTTGGTCAATGCTGAGCTTAGTCTCAAGCAGAGGACTCTTTGATTAAAAATATATTAACTGTTTTGGTATACATTTGTTTGTCACAACAATAGGGTAGATGCCTAATTTTTATTTTAATATCTGTCTGGTAGATTATTTTAAATCATTAGATACGTATTTTTTATTTTATTTCAGAAACAAATACTTTCGACGATATATTGATTTGAAATTTCGCGTGACGTCACTTCTATGTACATTTTATACGTAGAAATGACGTTTTAGCCCCCACACCTAAATTTTAAACTGTCAAACACCAAGCGATCACCGGTGACCGCAACCTATTGTTCTTTAATTGTGTCTATATTGACGGTGCTCGACGAGTTAATTCGTTTTATCTAAGTATTGTTTTATTATACGGCAAAATTAAAAAATACTTGTGTATAAGTTTTTCATAACCTAACTTACGGACTAATTATATTTTTAATTTTCATACCCTGTCATCATCGCAATTGTAATAAAATATGTTTTCGCAGAATTACACTACTACATGGCCCGCCAGCAAGATGAGGAGACCCTGCATCGTATGAAACAATCGTGGGAGAGGAACTTACCAGATATCAACGATTATTTGGAGCACATCCTGCCATTACTGAGGAATGCTTCCAAGAAAAACAGTAAGTTTTTAATTATCTCTTGTTTTCTAATGGATTCGGTTGCAGATCATCATAAAAGTAGTTAATTGCCAAAGAAATGTTTTCCTATTTATGAGTGGGGTGCTATTGTCCTCAAGTTTGGCAGGTGATACTTGGTAGGTCACCAAAAATTTATCTTGAAGTTATGCAAGAGAATCTCTTTCACTACGTTGTAGTTTTAATACATACCCATTGTTTTGATTATGCTTTACATGACTTAAACTATCGTAGATATTTAACAAAGCGTTAAAGAAATAATAATCTTATATATATAGCAATGGATGACATGTATTTTGAATTCAATCACTACATAATATAAAACAAAGTCGCTATCCACCGTCTGTATGTCCCTATGTATGCTTAGATCTATAAAATTACGAGACGGATTTTGATGCAATTTTTTTTTAATAGATAGAGTGATTCTTAAGAAAGTTTTATATGTACAATATGTACATGCATATTGCATCCGTCCAAAGTCGGGCGAGTCGCTAGTAAAGAATATTTTACTTAACTCTTACAAAAGTTAAAGATTATTTTAATAATGTAGAACAATTAAGTAAAATCGTGGGTTACTCACGTGAATATACCGAGAAAAGCTCTACTAGTTTCGAACCACAGAGAGGTTCTTCCTCATGAGCAGCGTGCGCGACGTTGCCGCGACCAAGTAGAGCTTTTCTCAGTATATTCACGTGAGTAACCTGCGATTTAACTTAATTTCGTATGTCTCACGATAATGTAGAACAAGTTTATTTGATCTATCAAAGGCCAAAACGAATAGGATTTCAGTTAAAAATCATACAAAAGTCAAAAGGTTCAACTAAAGTTGACGGTCAAGGTTATACAGGTATGTATGGAATTTTGTACAATGGATACTTGTACCAAATGATAAAGATATAGGTACCCTAAAGCGTTTCAAAGGCGACCCTATTAGTTGAAGGCTTCATTGTCTGTCTGTACATATGTATGCCAATCTATAGGTAATTACAAAATTCCTTTGATATTCCCTTGAAAAATAGTCTTGCATACATGACTTATTTTAATTGGTAGGTATAGATTTTGTCATTTGATTCAACTAGCACACTTGACTGCTTTTTATTTTTATCCATCATTGTTTATTAATCTCTGTATCATACTTTATTAAAAAATGTTCAGTAGTTAAACCGTCTGCGGCTGACGTGTAGTCCCACAGACACCGCGAAATACAAAATCACGTGTTATATCATCATTTTTCAAATACGAGCATCACTGCTGCGAGTACCTTACTGTATAGTGCTCGCTATACTTTAATTCTACAAAAATATTTGCTGTTGAAATGGTGTCTGGTATACTATACACCTCAGTTGAATTGTAACAATTTAACCACGTCAGTTGCAGAGGGTTAAGTTAGGATTGAAACATAAACATTAAAATGAAATGATTTGATTAAAATCAATTATCTTTTGTGTTATATATATTTTCAATATCACAATCACAATATCACAACTTTAAAAGAGACAATGACCTCTGAGTTGGTTTCGGCGTTTCTTCTCAGAATAGTCAGTTAGAAAATGCCGGCCCTTATCTAGTAATTTAAAAATTGACGTGTATAAGTGTTACTTTGTAACCTATTTGCAGATATAAATATCATTTTATCATTTCATTCCATTTCATTTCAATAAAATATACAAAAACAATTTTACGTGTGAATAAAACAAGCTAGTCAGAAGCACACTGCATATACTTCATATACTTCATAAACAAAAGAAGAACGTAAATAGATTTCCACTCTTGAAAGTGGCCAGCTTGCCACAGATAATATAAACTTTACTATGTATATAACATTTTGCAATTGCAATATTTTGCTTATAACGAATTCATTAAAATAATCAGTTTTATTAATAATATCAATTAAATAATTAGTTATTAATAATATTAACTAATTAGTTATAATAATATTAATTAATTAGTAATAATAATAATACTAATTAATTAATATGTAGTAATGGCAAGGGGTCTCGGGTTCGATTCCCGCGTCGGGCAAAGTATTACTGGGTTTTTAAAAAATCCTCAGTCGTAGCACGGAGTCTAGAATAGTGCTCGGTATATGGCAATAGGCTCACCCCTTACAACATAAAATATTGAAAAATAGGTGTTACATGGTACCTATAGTGGTATTAGGTGCCGTAATGTGCACGTCTGCCTACCTCTTAGGGGAGAAAAGGCGTAATGTTATGTTATTTCTGTGATTTATACCAAAAGTAAGGGCAGATATTTACATTACTCCAGCATAAATACAACAAAACCATACCCTTATAAATTAAGTCTATCATTAATAGAATATAATTGAACAATTGCAATATATAATACATCATTATTACAAACAATATATATACCTCTATATAGCTATAACAATACATAATATTAACTGTCAATAATTTAGAGCTTACAATAATTTAATTTAATTTAATACTAAACAGACAATAGTTTACAGACGATAACGCAATTAATGGCATGTAATTAGATAAATTGATAATTATATAAATTAAATCATAATTTTAATGACTGGTTGTAATAATAATATGAATAAGTTATTGTTTTATAGATATCAGATAAATATACGTAGGTATGTGTTATTATAGTATACGACTAGGGAAGTCTAAGTGAGGCCAAAATTAACCTAAATAAGTGACAAGTAAATAGAAAATAATAGAACGTTTCTTTTGTACGTAAACTGTTCTTCTACTCAAGATATCGAACATACCTCTATATATAACTATATAAATATTTACAACTTAAAATTAACTACAGCTAAACTATACTACTAGTAAAAATATATATAGGAGAACTATGTATATCACGCCAATCCCGTTTTCACTCTCTTTCTCTTTTACTCTCTCTCTCTATCTCACTCCCTCTTTTTCCTTATTTAGTTAAAGTTCTGAATGATAACAAAAAAAACGAAAGAATAGAAGCATGGACAAGTGCTGTTCAGTACGTGGTTTCAAAGATTAAAGCGTGCTTAACTGAAAATCACATTAAATTTTTAACCGACTCCAAAAAAAGAAGGTTCTCAGTTTTACCTGTATGTATGTTTGTGCGCGATTGTCTCCCAATTAGCTAAACTGATTTTCATGCAGTTACACTTAGGAGATAGATTTAATATATATTAACTAATCGACTTTCAAAAAGAGGAGGTTGGGTTCGGTATTTAAAATGTAGTTTTTTAAAAGAATTATGGATTAAACATGCTTTTAAAGTTTTAAATAGGTAGGTTGGTTATCATTAGCATTCCGAATAAAATACTTAAATCTTAGTTTCACCAAATATTTAAAGTACTTAGCCTCCTAAATTAATTACATTTGTTCTCTACTAATTAAATAAGCGTGTTTATAGACGCGGCTTTTGATATAAATCTTAATTTCTTAATTAATATTAAACTAAAGATTTAACGTCGCGTCGCTCCTGAGAATTCTCCATTGAAACCCATTTAGGATTTTGTCAATAAGTACGTAACGAGGCAAAATTTCCAACTTCGGCCATGAAGTTGCGAGAAAATAGCATTTTGCTGAAAAGCTTAACGCTAAACTTGTTTGTATTTGACAGAGTATAAATATTTTAATAATAATGATTTACATATTACCTAGACTTGCTAATTGGTAGGCTGAAATATGCTATTGAATATAATTTCCCTGTAAATCCATTATTAAACCATTTATTAATGAAACTAGCGACCCGCCCCGGCTTTCCACGGTACACCCGTGCTATGCGGGTATTATACACATATAAACCTTTCTTAAGAATCACTCTATCTATTAAAAGAAACCACATCGAAATTCGTTGCGTAATTTTATAGATCTAAGCATACATAGGGACATACAGACGGTGGATAGCGACTTTGTTTTATACTATGTAGTGATTAGTCTTTCTGAATGTAGCTCATTAAACAAGAGACAAGCAGAGAATTTAATAAATATTCAAGAGCTAGTGATGGCCATGATGACGCAGTACCTAGGTCCTGCTAACTATATCATTATTAGCATCGACGTCATATTTTATTTTATTTAATAAAACCTTCATTTTTTACTGTTTTGTGGTGCGTGTACAAACATACTAGTTAACATTACACATGGCGCCCAGACCCGAATACAATTTGTGGATCACACAAAGAGTTGCTCCGTGTAGAAATCTAACCTGCTACACGTTAGCCCGATAGCCGGTTGCCCAACCGTGCGGTTGACATATTTAAAATGTCATTGTTGTACATTACATTTTAGAAAATCCGGGAACACTTTTCCTGAACTCAATAAGCAGAAATCAAACAATAAAAAATCTAAATTAAGTAAAAACGCGGGTTACTCACGTGAATATACTGAGAAAAGCTCTACTAGTTTCGAACCACAGAGGGGTGCTTCCTGATGAGCAGCGTGCGCGGTCGCGGCGACGTTGCGACCGCGCAACTAATAGTTTTTCTCAATATATTCACGTGAGTAACCCACGTTTTTACTTAATTTAGTATGTCTCACGATAGTTATTATAAAAAATAAAAATCCTTACAATTACATTTTTAAATGAATTTAATACAAAAAAACTAATAACATTTTTCTTTCACAGACTATAACTCCGTTGAAGAATACTGGGACGCCCTCGGCGAGTATGAAGGTGCCATCTTAAAAGCAAGAGAATTGTGGGAGAATATCAAACCTCTATACTTAAAACTTCATAAATATGTCGCACTTAGGCTAAAAGGTTCTGATGCTGTGGGCAAGCCTTTACCAGTGCACCTTCTGAGTAAGTATATAAGTACTATAATTGAATACACAAATTAACGCGTAATAAAAAAAATCTATCAAAATATAACAAAGAAATGATTTGTTTTTCGAATGATATTAAAATAATATGGCGAAATAGTAAAAATTTAAAGTAAAATCTAGAATCAAAAACAGAACGTAACTACTATTACATTATTTATTTAATTTTTTGTTATAAAATATATTCCATTGAATATAAAACGACCACAATACACTGGAAAATTAAATAAAAATATATATATTTAGTTAACATACATTCATGTAGAATTCAACAGCAAAAAGTGTGTACCGAAGTTAAAATTAAAACTGTCGAAGTTTTTGCTGTCAGTAAACAGAATATGTAGTTTCAATGCAGGAAAACCAACTTAAGTCGTGGCTGTTTATTTTGTTTTTGTTTTTAAACCTAAACTGACATGTTATACTAACCAATGCATACATTTTAATAGCTGTGTAAAATAGGAAATAAAGTGAACAGTAATTGAAACAAAATGTCGAGTCATCATCATCAACAGCCTATAAATGCCCAGCTCAGCAAAGTCTCTTCTCACACGGAGAAGGTTTAGCATTAATCACCACGCTTCTTCAAAGCGGGTTGGCGATTATAAACTTATAATTAGAAATTATAAGCCTAAATTTCCTCACGATGTTTTGTTTCACCGTTTGTCAGTGCAGTGGTGTCTATATACTAATCTTAGAAAGTGCATATAATTCGGAAAAAGTCACATTGGTGGAATCTTACGAACTTGTAAAATTGCACTTATAATATACACGGTTGAATGCGAATTTTGCAATTACGTTGTACATATCTGCCCTCTAAAATAAATGTGAAACTATGTCAAATTAAACAGAAAGAAAACTCATAATTCACACCATAAAGGACTAATTAAGCTAATCAAATTATCTGCGTTTGACGCAGGATTGAAATTTATTTGCATGAGAATGCTTAAGTTCTCAATTTTGTGTGAAATTCTGTGTGACCTTTGGCTACTTAGGCATTTAGTCTGGACCACATTTAGAAAACTTTAAATTGTATGCTCGTAAGGTCCCCTTGAGAATAGTGTGCTTTCTGGGGGTTTTATTATGTACCTAACTAAGGTCCAAGATAATTTGCTAAGCACTTATGGTTCCCCTCTACTGTTTACTGGCTAAACTTTCCAATAAAATTTGGTACCTACATGGTTCATGAAATATCATAAATAATTAAAATTGTAAAGATTGGAACATACAGTTGGTTGTCGTCAATATTGTTATACTCAATTCAAATTTTTCCGCAGGATCATTAACGGGTGACGACTGGTCCAATCTCATAGAGAGTCTGCTACCAAAACATCCTGGTATTTATCAAAAAGTACACGCCAATCTTCAGTTAAAGGTAAGTTTCTTTTCATGTTACAATATTGTACGACGCCATGATTCGCAATCACTTTGAAGTAACAAACCTGACCTTTTTATAGCAACAACAGGAAAAGACGCAATTTACTTACGAAAACATATCAAAGAAAAATAAGCATAAACTGAATATTATTTATAACGTATAAATCCGTTTCACAGAACTTGGGTGGAGTAGAAGCATTCAAACAAGCAGCAAAACTCATCAAAGCGCTAAACTTAGGCGACGCAGACCCAGATATTTGGACTGAATCAGTGTTCAATAGCACTTGTCCACCGACACTGGTCGACTGGTGTAAGCCAAACAAAGTTAGAGCAATTACTTGTAAAGATGTCAGTATTGCTAACTTTATAGAAGCTCACGAAGCTGTCATGAAGATTGTCTACAAGCAGACTATTAATTTACATAGCAACAACACTTATATATTAAGAGAAGCGTCTCGCTATTCTGGTAAGTCTCTGTTCTAGTTCCAAAGTAATTTCTTTGAGAACTTTGCAACTCATCGCATTGTTTGTTCCAGCTGTGTATGAAGCTATTCCTGGTTTTGTGTCGCTGCTCTCCGTCAACCCACATGCGCTAAGTAAAGCGGGTCTATTCCCCGTGGAAACTTTCAACTACAACGCCAATCATCATCGTCTGGTCCTACAACTAATTATGGCTCTGAGAGATTTGCCGAAGTAAGTTTTTTGTTACCACTGAAACATATAGTGTGTTCTAAAACTACGAAGTTAATGTTTTATACTATTTCTTTCTTTTTAGACTAAACTTCTACTTGGCAGCTGACGAATGGAGAATAAAAGTTTTAATGGGAGCGATACCGTACGCGAAAATACCAAGTAGTTGGAGCGATTTCCGTAAAAATTTCTCCAACATAGAAACTGCGGACAGTGATTTCCTCGGAGACCCATACATGATGTTTAATAAACCTTTTATTGGGTGAGTGGCTACTGAAACAAAAAAGTAATTCGATAAAAGATTTGTGTTTGAGAATTTCGTATCTTACTATTATTTTCTTTTGTTACAGAAAATTCATGGGTTTAATTCTAAAGTACCAGATCTATCAATCTTTTGCTGAAGAACTTATATCGGATGATTCGGATTTAATAAAACACGTTGCTGAGAACAACGAACGATTGATGTGAGTATCCTTTGTCTTTCATCAACCCGTACAAAACAAACCCTCCTACCGCTTATCTAGCATTTTTTTTACCTTGTTCCTTTATTTTCAGAGACGCTATGATGCAAGGTTACGGAACCGTCTGGCCTGAAATGGTTAGCGATCTGCTAGCTAAGCGAGAATACGGACTAGAATACACAGGCCTGACAGATTACTACAAATTCTTGGATGAATACCTAGACAACCAATTAGAACCATCAACGGACAGCAGTACCTCGGACGATTATGTAGAACCTGTAGAACCCGAACCCGTGCCAGAAGAAAATGAAATACCATCTTCTGCCGAAAACCAGGAAAGCAAGAAAGTAGATAAAGTAGAAACACACGAAGATATTGTAGATAACGTAATCGATACAGGTGATGAATCAAATTCTAAGTTTGGCGTCGAAACGTCTACAGTAGGAGTTTTGGAGATAAAGAATCCTGTCGCACCTGGGGACCAAAATGAAGTGAATACGAAGGAAGCGTCGTATAACACGTATTGGTGGATAGGAATAGCGGTAGCCCTGGCGGTGGTTGTGATATTAATAGCAATAATAGCGAGGAAGCGTCACAACCATAGGAAACAGCTGGAGAGGCAACGAAGAAACAACTCGCATGCCTGATTTGAGGAATATCGGTTCTAGAAGTTGAACCGATATATGGACACTGAGACTAAATATAGTGAAATTGTGCCAACAATTGAGTGGAGTTCAAAGACGTATTTCTGTTCAGTGTATCGTTTCGAGTTATCTGGTTTTTGTTCGGGAACTTAAGTTGTTTAGCAGTGTTTATTTATACAGTTCTGTATTATTTATTACTTTCATCACACAAATGCATTTAAATGTATACAGTGTATACTCAGAATGTATTTAATTCAATTTCGTAATAATAATGCTAGGTTATAAAGATGGAAATATTTTTGTACATATCACAATTTGCAAGATAGAATAAAATATTGTTACCAAGAGTGTCTATATAGTTGTATGTTATAGTTAGATGTAATTTTGCTGTGCCTTAAGCGTCTCAATTTCTAATAAGTAAGATGCATAAAATATGTTAGGGATTATTATCAAATTTGTAAAAATAATGTAATTTTATAAAGTCTCTATTTACCTACTGTCAACTATTAACATTTTCCGACCAAATTTTAGTTTATTACCTACATATTGTTATATTTTAATTTTAATTACATTTGAATGTTCTATTTCTATATCTGTAATTAATTATGTATAATGTTTTAATTTGATGTTGCTCGTAATTTATGTGTTTATGATACTTTACTGTGGTAAAGTGGGGATTAGTATATTTGTGTCAACAATGAAAACAGAGAATAATAAATGTTTTGAACATAAAATACTTGTACTTATTTCATACTCTCTAATCTTTCATTAATCATAATAAACTAACGGGTCTACATAATATACAAAAGAAATTATCTCTGACCCACATAATTAGGTACCTATTGTAGGTAATTATGATCAACTGATCAATTAAAAACAAATCATTTAACCATTGTGAATGTTTCTAAATCGCCATCGCGCTTTTTATCCCCGAAGGGATAGGCAGAGGTACACATTATGCCACTGTACACAATGTAACACCCACTTTTCACTGTTTTGTGTTATGAGTCCCATGTAAAAGGGGGTGAGCTTATTGCCATATAACGGGCACAATTCCAGACTCCGTGCTACTACTGAGATTTTTTTTAAAACCCAGTAATACTTTGTCCGACCCGGGAATCGAACCCGAGACCCCTTGCCTGGTATTCACACTTGCGACCACTCGGCCAACGAGGCAGTCACAGTCACACAGACAGACACACAAGAGAGCAGTTAAATGAGCAATTCTTGTATGTATAGAATACATATATAATTATCAACGTTCTCGGAAACGACTTCATCGATTTGTTATTATTTCATTTTATGTATTTTGTTCTAGTTTTTTTTTTTAAATATATGGACTAAAAAACACTGATCGAAGCTCGGACATCCAGGTACTAAATATTTTATCCGTATGTATACCATAATATTAGGTACACCTAATCGATTTAACCTCACTGAATTGTATCATTTAAAAGCCTAACACAAGTTTTGGCTAGGCATAAAAATACAGCTTTTGTTATCTTGAATAAAGAATACAATCCCATTTAAACAACGGAAACCCTAAATATTAAGTTGGTCTTATCTTATCGAAGGAATAAGCAAGATAGCAAAAATTGAAGTTGACACAATTACTAGCTGTGTCCGTTACCCCTAAGTTGGAGGGTTGCCAAGAACACCCAGTATAAAAAGAAATGTGTACAAAGAAAACTCGAATAGTTTTGTACCTGAGCTTGTCAGGATAGTAATTTTCTAATATTTTTTAGGTCTGGTAACAAAAAAATTAAAAATAATTAGCGCCGGTTTCACCACCTCTATAAAGTACCTGATAAACTTATGTGAAAGATAGTTCATACAAATTACGTTCTTAATTCAAAATCTGGTAGATAACGGCTATTCAGATATTGTGAAACAGGCCATTGAACTTTTACGAAATTCAAATTGTGAAGCACGTGTTCTTTTTTAAATTCAAACGACATTCGAAATGACATTAGTTTGAAATTTCAAATTGTTTTTTTATAAGTACTTTCTATGATTTGATTTTAGAAGGAAACGGCGTAGGTTGAAATCTGATCAACAGTTTACTGCTGTTTTTCTTACAATTTGACCTTTACCCTGAATAGAAATGAGGATTCATAATACATAATAGTGTCTGTGTAGGTAGTATTGTTCTTCCCACGATCTATTTCCTTTATATCCCAATAATTTTGCTTGTATATTTATTTGTTTGTTTTCATCCAGATCAAGAGCTAAGCTAGGCATAAAATTTAGCCTATCCAGCTATGGTACTTAACCTTGATATTAAGGCGATTGGAGTAAACAAAATATCGATGTAAATAAAAACAATGAAGATATTAGGTTCTAATCGGATACTTTTTGCGAATAAATAATTGCGTAACCACATTAGTTTATTTAACAGATTAGAAATTAATATATCCAACAACGTATGAGTAATCATGAATGTGTAGATTTCACGGTAACTAAAAACATACAGCAAAAAAATGTAAATAAACTCTTACTAAAAAGAAAAAAACATAAAAATAATGCAACTACAAAAAAAATATATATTCTAAATACATAATTCAAAAATTGCGTTCCACGTTCGATATTTGAACAGGTCAGTTGTTCTAAAAACGGCCAGTATTTACATTAACTGCAACTGTTTCAACCACAAATCATTGTATTGTAGCATTAGCATAATATAGAATAAAAAAATCCGATCAGATACGTTTACCAAAGAGGTTTTTGTTTAGAACGGAAAACAGTGACCCGGAATTTGTTTCCTTTTTTGTAATAGACCTTATATTTTGTTGAGTTTTTAGGGAAGTCACAACAGTCATAAAAATACTTTATTATAAACCCTGCTAAAGAGAATCTTAAAAAAAAACAATCAGCCATAAACATTGGTAGTGATATCTTTACATTGGTGTTGTGTTGAATCTATTAAAGTCGTCCACCAACGTTACCCAACTGTTCACAAACGAATCATTTCAAAAATACCCCAAATGAAATGAGATCATCCTTTGTACAAATAGCTAATATCCTTCTAATTTATGTTCGGTACTCCTAAAAAATCATTGGAACGTTCCTATGTTTCTACAAAAGGAATAATTTAGCTGTTTGTTATTCCAGGATATGTTTGTGTTTCCAGATTTATTGTCACACTCAAACGTTAGGGCGCTCGTACTTTTTATTTTATTATGTTTTGTTATGAAGGGAATTGGTTGTAAATAGTGACATTTGTGATAGGTACAGGATGTAGACGACTGCATGTCCAGTTAAACCCTCATTCAAATGAAGTGTCAGCTTTATTTATGTTGTAATAAAGTCGAAATTCTGTTATAGATATTTCATATTATTGAGAAGCTTGATATGTCTATACTAGAATAGAATAGACTGCACGGTTGGTGCGGTGGCTGGGCAACCGGCTGCCGTGCAACGTGTCGCGGGTTCGATTCCCGCACGGGACAACACTTTGTGTGATCCACAAATTGTTGTTCCGGGTCTGGGTGTCATTGTGTATGTGAACTTGTATGTTTGTAAACGCACCCACGACACAGGAGAAAATCCTAGTGTGGGGCAACGTTTTTTAAAAAAAAAAAAAAAAAGAATAATAATGTTTACTTTCAATATTTTTTTTAAACACCCACCGTCGCCGACCGTGCATGTGAATACGTCAATGGACGTCTCTGTTAGGGCCGATTTTTCAATTATCAGTTAATTCTTAACTGAGGAATAACTTTGAATAGAACAATTTGACAATTCTTCCATACTAAAAACTGTCAAGTGTCAATTTTATTCTACAGTTATGAGTTAACTGATGATTGCAAAAACGGCCCTTAGGCTCGCTAAACGTAGAGTCCCTAGTTCTATTTATTTTACAAATATCAATATAGGCGTTATGAGTATTATTCCAAAGTCGGGTGATCCTGGCAGATGGCAGTGAAGTTTGTAAAAGACGTTCTAAGACTTCAAATAAGGTTCTTACCCAAATTACGAAATTAAAAGCATAATTCCTTTTTAAAAGGCTGGCAACGCAGCTGCGACTCTTCTGATATTGCAGGTGTTCATAAGCGGAGCTGATCACTTACCATCAGGGGGCTTACTATTGAATCCAATTTGGATCGATCGACATTGGTGAAATTTCGTACTCTTGAGTTGCAACACTAGCGCCCATTGAATCCGTATTGCACATATTGCAAGAATTAATTAGTATTGAGTTTGGCTTTATATTATATTCTCTGAATGCCATTTGAACAGCTACAATAGGATTTTGTATAGTTTTGACATTGAATAATTATTGGGATTTTATTGGATTGAAATTCCATTGACATTGAGATTGGTTTCAAGAGTCCAGGTGATTCGTCTGATTGTTTAACAAGTGAAACAAGTCAATTTATTTCTGCAAATAGGCTACGAGGCAGCACTTTTACACGTCAATTTTATCAAGCGAACGATGAGGTCGACATTTCCTAACTGACTACTCTGAGAAGAAATGCCGAAACAAACTCAGAGGTCTGTCTCTTTTAAAGTCTAGTAAAGTCAAGTTTGCCTCCTATTCCATAAAAAAAACAAATTACACGTAACGTTATGATAACTTTAATTCCATCATATAAACACATAAAGCACGCAGTTTAAACAGTTCTATACCTTAATACAGTGTTCCAATCAACGAATAACACTCGTTAACAAAAAGGGATTGTGACAAGGAATAATAACTTCCTGACCCTACACTCCTACATCCTTGTTCGTGTGTCAGCAAAAACATTTGTGGACCTTTCTACATGGGTACCTACTAATGATCCGTGTTTTAATCTAAGGCTGGATTTGCTTTTATGTGCATTTTTGGGAGGTTATATAGAAATATGTATAGCATAGGTATTACTGAAAAAACCTGAAGTGCAGGCTCATGTTATTTAACCTCTTGTCTGTCGATATATGAGACACAATAGAAGACATTACTGTGTCTCGCGTAGATCTACCTTCTGGCAGTCAAGACGTTAAACATGCGCTCATTGGTGACCATTTAGTAATATATTTGCCTAGAAGATATACAAGAACTAAATAAAAAATTAATAAATATACAGGAATCAACCGAAATAAATTGAGCTAATATGTCCAAGGATGCAGAATTGACCAAATCGGTATATTTTGTTGAGCGTGGTAACATTCAAAGCTAATTTTCGCATGGACTGTAGATCGAAAATTAAGCAAAATTGGTTTAAGTCAATATCCTTTGCATCGCGCAGTTGGATTAAAATGACGCGTGTGACGTGTGTCGTGATTTTTTAAGGAATCGTGGACAAGCGAGCTGGCTCATCGGATGGATCATCTGATGGCAAGCAATCAGCACTACCCTTAACATCAGGAGGTGTCACAAGTGCCTTGTCGGCCAAAAAACGTGTGTATTTTGCTCGATAAGTAAAAATAGTGAGCAATGGCATTAAAAAATATTCGGACATAACATAAATATTTTTTTGCTGTTCATATTGTCAAGGTCAAACTAACATATTGTTTGTTTTGCCCACAAAATGTTTACCACAAAAATCTTCCAGAACTTTGTATGTAGTTAATGAAGAAGTTTGTTTGATGGAACTTCGACCAAATATTGCAACGTCGCCATCTATTTTAAGGATAATACGAAAGTTATGACATGAGAAAGTTATATTGGCCCATATAATAATCGCATTACTTGTAAACAACTTGCATTGGCTTCCAGATTTCATTTATCATCACCCTTGTTATCGGTATGTAA